ATTGAGTGTTTACTCTAGGGTTTCTATTTTAATTGGGTTATTACATTATTTATGGGTAACCATGGTAACCAATATTTTTTCACTCATCTATTCATCACTCTATTGGGTATTTCCCAAAACTAGTGAACATTTTAAGATTTAAAAAAATATAAAATAATGTTTCAGATGTATGTAACTGTTCTAAATAAATAGGCTTGACCCGGAAAGTAAATTAGCTTGTAATTGTGTTTCGGAAACCAGCTCCTTTGTATGCAGCTAAAAAAGCTTCATTGGGAATTTACGCGAGCTGTTTTTATACATTTGAGTTTTTCATTTAATGCATGCGTTTCTGTAGGCAAGTTAATTGAAAGTAATTGGGTTTTGAACATTTGGAGGGGTATTTTACACAAATACGCTGCTTATCTGTAGCTCTGTCAATCATTGCCATGATTATTTTGCAATTGTTTTCTGAAAAACTTAACTAACCTGTATAGTGATAACATAACCCCCCACCCCTAAAAAGCTGAAATTCTACCAGTGCTTAGTAAATCTTTAACATCAGACAAAACTGACTTCGGCTAGCAGACTTGTCCAGATTGCTAACCCTGTAGTTTTAAACTAACAAACTCTAAGGTTCCTCCAAAATCTTGTTATTTTACATATACCACTAGTTTGAAATGAGCTGTGGACTAGATTTCATTGATGGCCTCCAGATTGAAAAGATGCTCACTGCCCACTGTGTCACTGTAGGGCATCACTATACACATCACCTGGATACACCCACCTTGCATTTGTTTAGACATCACCTGGATACACCCACCTTGCATTTTTTACACATCACCTGGATACACCCACCTTGCATTTTTTTACACATCACCTGGATACACCCACCTTGCATTTTTTACACATCACCTGGATACACCCACCTTGCATTTTTTACACATCACCTGGATACACCCACCTTGCATTTTTTACACATCACCTGGATACACCCACCTTGCATTTTTTACACATCACCTGGATACACCCACCTTGCATTTTTTCACACATCACCTAGATACACCCACCTTGCATTTTTTTACACATCACCTGGATACACCCACCTTGCATTTTGTATTCATCACCTGGATACACCCACCTTGCATTTTTTACACATCACCTGGATACACCCACCTTGCATTTTTTTACACATCACCTGGATACACCCACCTTGCATTTTCTTACACATCACCTGGATACACCCACCTTGCATTTTCTTACACATCACCTGGATACACCCACCTTGCATTTTTTTACACATCACCTGGATACACCCACCTTGCATTTTTTTACACATCACCTGGATACACCCACCTTGCATTTTTTTACACATCGCCTGGATACACCCACCTTGCATTTTGTATTCATCACCTGGATACACCCACCTTGCATTTTTTTACACATCGCCTTGATACACCCACCTTGCATTTTTTTACACATCACCTGGATACACCCACCTTGCAATTTACAGGGTACAAAGTTAATCCTGCTCATAAGCCAAAACAAACCTCCATGAAGACAGGTGTTGATATCTACAGGTGTAATACTCGCAATAAACATCCTGACTGGCAGTACCCTTACACTCGTTAGCTGCTACTTGGCCTAGCCATTACATAACTGCAATTTGCAGATCCATGTAATTGAATAGTCTTAACAGTGTAATTAAGAGAGGTGAGGTTACAGTTCTATCAATCAAGTAATTCATTTGGACTAGCCACATAACAAAACATGCAATATTATTGAGTTTATGAAATATGTGTGGAATCCCTAATCTGGTCAAAACAAGCCTGTTGAATCAATTATATGAAACTTGTCATGTGCCCTGTTACAATTAAAAGAGTTTACTTTAGCATTCAAATTTGTTTTATAATGAATCACTCTTTATGAAAAAATATTGAAGGTCTCAGGCCTATAGTACGGCTTGTATGGATAGTGAAATGTACATTTTCTATAAAAGAGTATTTCAATATTTCATTGCATGACACGCATATGCTATAAACATGTTTTAGTACATTAATATTTTCAGTAGACATCAATTTGAGAAATTTATATATATTTGGTGTTCTGTACATTTAAGGACACAAGTGTTCTCTACGCAAATGTTCTAATTCTGGACACAAAGAAAAAAATTATATTATTTTCAATTTTGTATGTGTGGCAAGTTAACATACTCTCAATTCTGAAGGCTAAGAGAAAAACATCTTATTTACAGCGTTAGAAATTGGCACTAGTCCTGTAGTCCTTGCCAAACTGCCCAATGGTTAAGGTATCATAAGGACTGGTAGAAATTTGCCCTTTTTAAGGGTTTTGCTGTATGCTATCATTATAAGGACTAGTGGACTAAAAATGTTAGTTTCTACCGCTGTATTCATGAAAAGGATTTTCTAACTTTAGGGAGAAGTGATTTCCAAAGATATTCATCAGTTTTAAATTGGGACTTGAACACTACATAGTATTTATATTTTGGTGATAATAGAAGTATCTCATTCCATTTCTGAATATACGTATCCTTCAGTCTTTGAGTGAACATTTAAACAAATGGATCAGGATATTCTATGTTTTGACTTTGCCATACATACCCCAAACCTAGTTCATTTAACAATTTTCTTGATAGAAGATATCCATTCTACATAACCGCCTCTCACCTCTAAATATATATGAGTCATGCTGACCCATGCAATGATACTATGCGAACTACAATTGTGGAAGTCATGATAGTCACTGCGACAAAATTCACACATAATTTAGCATGTTGCATAAGTTCAATTATTTCTGATTTCATGAGTTTCTATATGAATTTCTAATAAATCAGTCACCAGGTGCATTCATATCCATGCACAATTCATATTCCCACAAAAATATTCTGGTATCAGATGTGATGCAGATGTCCTGATAATCATGATAATGGGTGACATTTGAAGAGGGTCAAATTTCAAGGGAATCCCAAAATTGAAAAATCCCGATCGAAGTACAGTTGTAAAATGCACATACAATATTTTATATATTTTACTGTGTACAAGCATGCCATAGTTGACAATCAGAATCATATGCAGTTTTCCTGGTCAGTAGTTTAAATAACATTATCAGGATTGAAAAGAAAAAAATCCTTATCTTTTTCAGGTGGGTTTGTCATTGAATTAACTGCAGATAATCTTTACCTCATGAGTGTGCTTGTATTGCCATGGCAACTGTTGGGAGTTACCTACGATGGAATTACCCAAGGCATTTCTCCAAAATTAAATTAATCATATGATGTAATTGAATAATCAGTGAATGGAGTCGGTGAGTGAGTGAGTTTATTTCAATGCTGCTTTGAACAGTATTCCAGTTAAACTTACATCATAACGTTTCAGCTTAAGGAAAGTCCGAAGTGATGGAGGTCTCAGACGTTAACCACACTGGTGAAACCCACGAGCACGGGTATGGTGCTGACAAACCTAGACACATAAGGCAACTGTGCACAGTGAAATCGTGGCGTCTTAGATGACTGGGACACCAGTGTCCCCGAGAATGGAGTGAACACGCTAGGGCCAATATGATACTGACTTTTGAGACATGTCACCAGTGTTTTTCTGACCCCCCTGACAACCAGTATAGGAACTGCGAAAGTCTTTGTTGATACCATTCATAATACTTCACAATGCATTGTCACTACAGTGGACGCAATTACAATTATAACACAACTGCTTTTATGTAGAAACAGCAACTCAGTTACTGCCATTACAACTTACATTACATTATTTGATAGTTTCAATTTGACTACATATATCATTGGAGAAAATGCTCCAGAAATTGAGTTGGCGTCCTTGTATGCAGTACCATTAACATAGTTACGAATACCGTATTCGACGTAATAAGCTCCCTGCTCTAATAAGCTAATAGCTAATATATTGGCTAGTGAACAATCCCAATGAGCACCTCTTCCGATTGATCAATGTACACAAGACTTATTTATTTGCGTATACTACGTACTTCTGTGTTATATGCACCGTTAATTATGGGCTATTAAATTCTGGAAAAATATATCTGTATAAAAAAATATAATGTATGTTTCAACTCTGTTTTTTCCGACCAAAATGATGTTCTAATAAGAACCCCCTATTTCTAATTTTGAGAGCGCCCTGGGCGCTTATTACGTTGAATACGGTAACTGTGAATAGTTCAATGAGAGGTGAAGAAGATGACAACCATCGTATCTATGCACTTATCTGCATCCAAGAATGTACTCAACTGCCTGCATGTCCAGTCAAATATCAAAGTTCACACAAGCACATCGGATGATAATATATGTGCACACCTCAATGCATTCCTTATACAACATAATTATTATCATAAATGATATGTGGTGGAGTTGTTGACAGATCATGCAAACATAGATACCAGCCATGCTAGATTCTGTGAAACAATAGATTTTCTTAATTATTGTCTGATTGACCATATACAGACCATGGAAATGAACTTAATGGACCACATTCCATGAATATTTGCATCTTACACAGAGTGGAACAGCTTCTTATAGATTTAGTAGGCCTAGTGTTAGTTAACTGGTTAGCATAATACAATAAAGGCTATATTGACGACAAATATAAACAGTTATGATCTATATCAACAAAATGAGCAACTGCACAGACTATTTTGCTGTCACTACCTATACAAGGAACACACGAACGTCAGAACATGGTCCGCGACTGTCAGACGTTGATTGTTATGACTGTCATTGAGTTCTGACACTTTTCAACATTGAAGTGATTCATATTGACGTTTCGCAATAAAGCTATATTTTCACCAACATCATACAAGTATACAGCATGTTCACTTGTCAGATAATGCGTTGATATAGGTTATAAATGTCAATATTAATAATTCAATAATTCATACACACGATGTTTTGTAATATCACGAAATGGGGAGTATCCCAAGGATCAGATGTGTACAAATGAGAGACTTGCCACCTCAACGGGACAGGTTTACACGAACTATACCTTGTAAAAAATATCCTCCCGTGACAGTTATGACATAGTTTCGACTGGGATGTGCCACAGTGATTCCATGGTGTCGTTTACTATCAGGAACACGATGAGCTTATACCCGGAAGGGATGTTTAGATTTCCAAACGAGGAACCTTATTTTGTCACAATATGGCGGACTTTCCTGCGCGTGCGCAGACGGAGGGGCACCTGTGGCAATCGAAACTCTCATACTTGACCTTGCTTATCTCGTTACAAATTAACGATAACACAAAACATACATGACATACGCAATAAACATAAAAGCATAAGCGAAGTATTCCGAATGCAAGGGAAAAGGACATGTTAACGTGTTCTTATTTCGTAATTTCTATGTTCCACTCCATTGCACATAAAACTATATATAGGTAAATATGAACGTCACATTGACTGTCCACACAACATGCGTACATCATTGTAATAACGCATGACATTGTGTCGTTACGTTGTTGCACTTCCCTCTAAACTAAACTGAAAAATAAAACGAAAACTGCATGTCATTTGTTTGGAAAATAAAATACACTGTTAGTATTCGTAAAAAAATCTTTGTTTGTAAAATTTATTCAGTCTTTTTTTTAGTATATATTTTTTTTAATAAATTCCCTTGTACAGACGTAGAAGGTATAGATGAGTTTTCTACATACAATTTATGTTTACAAGATCCTACGATAATGTGTATTTTGTTTGTTTCTTGTTTTTTAGCGCCGCACTCAGCAATATTCCAGTTAAATGACGGCGGTAATGTGTAATTGGTCCATGTGTTACAGTAGCTAGGGGATTAGATACGTTTCAACAGGACTTGACTAATATCAAATATCTGAAATGAAAAGATTTGTGTGTGTGTGTGTGTGTGTGTGAGTGTGTGTGTGTGTGTGTGTGTGTGTGTGTGTGTGCTAAATCGTCTTTGATATTGTAGACTTGTTGGTAGTATTCGGATTTGTTTGTTTCATGGTCTGTGGGAGAGTCTACGGCAGGATTTGCCGATGGACAAGTGTAATACATGCTCAGGACTCGCCCACTCGCCCGAAGCAATCTACCCATCGTGCATGTATCTTTTGGGAGAGTTAGACACATTACATGTTCTGGCGTTGTGTTCGGGCCAACGAGATATGAGATAATCGGAAGGGACCAATCAGACTGTATGTTCACTATTTAACCTAAATAGGTTACATCGCCCTTATGTAACTTTAAGATTGATAGAAATGTAATGTGCAATCTATACGATCTAACGTATAAAACGTCATGCATCAGAGTGAGTGAGTGAGTGAGTTTGGCTTTACGCTGCTTTTAGCAATATTCCAGCAACATCACGACTGGGGACACCAGAAATCGGCTCCATACTTTGTACCCATGTCGGGAATCGAACCCGGGTCTTCGGCGTGACGAGCGAACGCTTGAACCACTAGGCTATCCGACCGCCCTTCGTGCATCAGAAGCCAAATGGACGTGTGTTTTTTCTCGGGTATCATCTTACACGTGTAGCTTAGTGCATGCTATTTAAGGCTGCAGTCACCAATATTCCAGATATGTAACGACAGTATGTGAGTGAGTGAGTTGGGTTTAACGCCGCTTTTAACAGTAGTCCAGTTATATCGCGGCGTGTCAGCTTAATGTGGGAGGAAATCCTGAAGGGATGCAGGTCTCAGATACACGAGCACAGGTATGGTGCTGACAAACCTAGAAACATAATCGGGGCGAACCAGGATTCGAACCCACAATCATAGATTTCTGGCCCAAGGGACGCAACTCTGAACAGCGAATAGCGGCGCTTTAGACTAGTGGGCCACCCGTGCCAGAGGGTCAAAGAGTATTCCAGTTATATCACGGCGTATCAGCTTAACGTGGGAGGAAAGCACGAAGTGATGCAGGTCTCAGACGTTTACCACATCGGTGAAACCAACGAGCACGGGTATGGTCCTGACGAACCTAGAAACATAATCGGGCCGAACTGGGATTCGAACACACATTTATAGGTTCCTGGCGCGCCCAAGGGACGCAACTCTCCAAAGCGACATTCAAATATAGGCATAAATATTAAAATAAGGCTCGGGGAACCCAGGGATACTGTGGAGACTATTGTGTTGATATATCCTTCATTGTGTCCACTTCATTAATTGAAAAAATGAATACAATCAGTTTAGACATTTCTGTATAACCCGTATTTGATGTTCCTACATTATATTTTGTAATCGTAATCTAACTGCAAAGAACCTGTGAAGATCCGGGTTAGAATAGGTCTTTAACAACCCATACTTGCCGCTAAAGCCGACTATGCTTGTCGAAAGAGACGACTTACGGGATCGGGTGGTCAGGCTCGCTCGATGCATGTCATCGTATCCCAATCGCGTGGATCGATGCTCATGATGTAAATCACTGGGTTGTCTGGTCCAGACTCGATTATTTACAGACCCCCGTCATATAGCTGGAATGTTGCTGAGTACAGCGTTAAACAACAAAATAACGAAACTCTAATTGCAAAGAACGCATATAAAATACATTTTTCACCATTGACTTAAAGGAGATATAAAATCAACACTGACATGTAAAAAATGAGTGAGTGAGTGAGTATGGTTTTACACCGCTTTTAGCAATATTCCAGCAATATCACGGCGGGGGTCTGTAAAAAATGAAACAAAATAAGGCCAGGTAGAGTGTTAATATACAGTTTATGTCAAAACCAGTCGGACAGGTTTGGCAAGACTTGCACAAGTCTATAAGGCAATAATTATTAGTTTAAGTCCTGTTTTCCCTATTCTATAAATAATAAGATTAAGTTGTCACAATAAGAGACTATCGTCCTTGTTCTGTCTACCTATCTAGACTTGCCTACTAGGAGAATAGAATTACTACACATCCATGAACTTATCTTTCAGTACAGCCTGGGAGCAAGGCTATGGTTTAGCCTACACTTGGGAATTGATAGGCTAACTCTGTCGCTGAACAAATTTTACTTTTGACAGAAACAAACAACTCCATTTAAATTGAAAAGGAGCCTCAGTGAGATGGGATAATCTGAAAATCTAGACTTGCTTCAGTAAAGGATGGATGAAGGGGAGAATAATATGGTTCAGGGACCATGAGACAGGCCTCGAAATTAAGTGAGGCTGCTGTAATATGCTCCCTTAAATGTTTATCCGAACAGAGTTATGTCCCTTGTTTGCACAGGCCAAACCCCGAGAGTGGAGTACTATAGCTTCAACAGAAATATTTCGTTGTTTGTTTTGTTTGTGTATTTAACAGATAAGCTTACTTCGGGAGAGCAACAACAATCAGAGAGGGCACACGCAGATATAGCTGAGCTTCTTGGAAAAGAAGGTTTGCATTTACCAAACGATCGTGCTCTAGATGAAAGCAAATACATCGAGACAACTTAAGTTTCGTTTGTTGGTCGTTTATTTGTTTTAAGTTATACTGTTTTTCATAAATTTACACTTTTCTACCACATGTACACAATATAATGAGTGAGTGAGTTGAGGTTTATTGCCAAGCTTTAATAAGATAAGCAGAGTGATGAGGGTGAACACACGGACTCTCCCAAGGCTGTGCTGTTTGAAAGGCCGAATTTTAGGGACGTCTTCACCAGCGCTATTATCTGTTATGTGCCTGTATTTAATGTTATGTTATGTTATCAGCGATTTGAGTGAATGAGTGAGTGGGTGGGTGGGTGAGTCAGCGGAATCTTCACATCTATCACCAAACACACCAGCACAGTATCAAGGACCTGTCGGGATCAGACACACCAAAGAAGGAGCTGTTTCAGCAATGATGATGTGTCAGCCATATGTCACATTTTGGGGAATGAGAATGTGTGTTAAAACACACAAACACAAACATATCACTTCACGTTTATTTTCTAGTCAACATACAAAACTTGTTCAAACTTTTCTTGTAGTGTTTCCCATCTAAATCTGTTGAGGTCAATCTGAAAAAGGTAAAGGCAGTGATTATGCCATAAAATAATTGACTGAATGAATCTTGTGTGGAATATGATGACAAGTGGGCTTATGTCTGTCTGGGCCCACTTGCACAAAGGGATCTTAGCGCTAAGACTATTGTAAGCCTATGTTAAAGTATGAGAGTTACGATCATCTTCGCGCTGAGATCACTTTGTGCAAGTGGGTCCTGGAGGTCGTAATACCATGTCTCCCTGTAATTAGGTGTGTTTGTCTGTTGTTTAATGAAGAACTCAGCAATGTTACTGCCTGTAAATATTCAAACTTGGACTAAACAATCCAGTGATTGATATTGTGAGCAACGATCCATGTCGTGGGCGAACGAGAACATGCCATGTCATCAGTGCATAGGTTGTTGGGAACCAATCGAGACCATGTGATTAGGTCATCCAGCTAGAATCAATCTCATTTAAATCATATCTTAGTTCTCGCTACCGCTAAACAAAGATCTGAGGACATCCCTTTACAGGTCATGTCAGACCGACCTTGCACAAACATTGACCAACCAATGGAATGACGAATCAGAAGGCAGCTTTCTCGTGCTTTACTGCACTAATTCTAATTGGCGACTACGCTTCGAAACATATTTTGACAAATTCTCGATTACAAATTTGAAACCTGAACAAAAGAACATTCTGGAATGGCTAATAGATGGTCTAGATTGTATGGATTCAGTTGTTAAACCCGTAACTATCTTTCAGAGTTAAAGTTTCCGAGGTTGCATGATTAGAAATCACATTCCGACTGTCACGTTCATAATCAGGTAAGCGATGCTCTGATTGGTCAGATGAAAGGTCGTTCTGACGTGACCTGTAATGGGATGTCCTCAGATCTTTGTTTAGCGGTAGCGAGAACTAAGATCTGATTTGAATGAGATTGGGCTAGAATGGGACAATCTCAAGTGCCAGGTGCTGAGATCGCATCTCGACCAGGTGTATTCAGCCTATGGACCAACAGTGTTTACAGGTCTTTAAAGTGGTGTCACAACCCCTAGTGTAAGTACATATAACCCTAACAACACCACTCATCCGATGACAGATGACCAGGAACACATACATACACCAGAAATGAAAGTTTTGATTGTTTGTTTGCTGTTTATCGCTGCACTCAGCAATATTCCAGCTATATGACGGCAGTCTGTAAATAATTGAGTCTGGGCCAGACAAACCAGTGATTTATACATGAGCATCAATCTACGCAATTGGGATACGATGACGTGCATCAACCATGTCAGCGAACATGAACACCCGATCCTGTTAGTCGCCTCTTACGACAAGCATAGTCACCTTTTACGGCAAGCATGGGTTGGTGAAGACCTGGTCTAACCCGGATCTTCAAGGCTCCGAAACACAAGTCTTAAAACGTGGTGTCCCCAAGAAATTAACACATAAACATTGCAAAATATATATTTGGTCCCCTTTTAAAATATAATACAGATTTGTACTGGGGATACCTGTGGTCTCTGAGTTCGGGCAAGGTGAGGTTTTCGGCAATATTCCCGAAGTCTCTTGTACAACTGTGTTGGGGTTCTGTAAAGACACTGGGCTGAAACTCAGAACAGTCATGTTAGAGTGATCTCCCTTGCTGATGCTGCTAATGCTTATTATTGTGGGGAAGGTTTAAATGATTCTATCTAGTAACAATTGCTGCTGAATGTTAATGATTGTTTGTTGTTTAATGTCCAAATCTGTAATATTCTAGTTATATAACAGTGGCCTGTTAATAATCAAGTCTGGACCAGACAATTCCGTGATTGATATTGTGAACAATGATGCACTCCATCAGAATATGGGTTGCTGAGGACATGTTCTAACACGAAATACACACGCATGCTGCTTTGAAAAGTGTTCCCTGTGGGGATTAGAGTTAGAATTTGTACCAATGGCAATCTATGCTGGTCATAAGAGGCGACCAAATAGATTGGGTGGTCATACTCAGAAACTTGGTCTACTGCATGTCATCATTTTCGAATTTCGTGGCTCGTTGCTCATACTATCAATCCCTGGATTATCTGGACCAGACCAACAATCCAAAGATTGGACCTTGCTCTTCACTGGAGGACTAAATTATGTGGATGGATGGACCGACGGACGACTCATGGCAGAAGTTCATGATAACAGTCCTACCTGGGAATATTTCTGGATACACCAAGTTGTCAGGACACAGAGGATAGCACCCACAGTGTACAGCCTCCAGCCTGCAACATCAGACACCACCAGTACACCACCAGTACACCATCGATACACCATCGATACACCACCAGTACACCACCAGTACACCATCGATACACCATCTATACACCACCAATACACCACCAGTACACCATCAATACACCATGAATACTACACCAGTACACCACCAATACACCACCAGTACACCAGCAGTACACCATCAATACACCACCAGTACACCATCAATACACCACCAGTATACCTTCAATAAACCATCAATACACCACCAGTACACCATCAATACACCACCAGTACACCACCAGTACACCACCAGTACACCATCAGTACACCACCAATACACCACCAGTACACCACCAGTACACCTTCAATAAACCACCAGTACACCACCAATACACCTTCAATACACCACCAGTACACCATCAATACACCATCAGTACACCACCAATACACCACCAGTACACCACAATAAACCACCAATACACCACCAGTACACCACCAGTACACCACAATAAACCACCAGTACACCACCAGTACACCACCAATACACTAGTATCTTTGCCACACTGAAAACTAAAAGTGTTTTTACATATTTGAATCTCATTCGTTGAAGCTCTCCTGGGAACACGGGGCCTCAGTGGGTTCATGTTTCCTGGGAACACGGGGCCTCAGTGGGTTCATGTTTCCTGGGGACATGGGGCCTCAGTGGGTTCATGTTTCCTGGGGACATGGGGCCTCAGTGGGTTCATGTTTCCTGGGGTCATTGGGCCTCAGTGGGTTCATGTTTCCTGGAGGTATGGGGCTCCAGTGGGTTCATGTTTCCTGGGGACATGGGGCCTCAGTGGGTTCATGTTTCCTGGGGTCATTGGGCCTCAGTGGGTTCATGTTTCCTGGAGGTATGGGGCCTCAGTGGGTTCATGTTTCCTGGAGGTATGGGGCCTCAGTGGGTTCATGTTTCCTGGGGACATGGGGCCTCAGTGGGTTCATGTTTCCTGGGGTCATTGGGCCTCAGTCGGTTCATGTTTCCTGGGGACATGGGGCCTCAGTGGGTTCATGTTTCCTGGGGACATGGGGCCTCAGTGGGTTCATGTTTCCTGGGACATGGGGCTCCTGTGGGTTCATGTTTCCTGGGGACACTGGGCCTCAGTCGGTTCATGTTTCCTGGGGACATGGGGCCTCAGTGGGTTCATGTTTCCTGGAGGTATGGGGCTCCAGTGGGTTCATGTTTCCTGGGGACATGGGGCCTCAGTGGGTTCATGTTTCCTGGAGGTATGGGGCTCCAGTGGGTTCATGTTTCCTGGGGACACTGGGCCTCAGTGGGTTCATGTTTCCTGGAGGTATGGGGCTCCAGTGGGTTCATGTTTCCTGGAGGTATGGGGCCTCAGTGGGTTCATGTTTCTAGGGGGCATGGGGCCTCAGTGGGTTCATGTTTCCTGGGGACATGGGGCCTCAGTGGGTTCATGTTTCCTGGGGACATGGGGCCTCAGTGGGTTCATGTTTCCTGGGGACATGGGGCCTCAGTGGGTTCATGTTTCCTGGGAACACGGGGCCTCAGTGGGTTCATGTTTCCTGGGGACATGGGGCCTCAGTGGGTTCATGTTTCCTGGGGACATGGGGCCTCAGTGGGTTCATGTTTCCTGGAGGTATGGGGCTCCAGTGGGTTCATGTTTCCTGGGGACATGGGGCCTCAGTGGGTTCATGTTTCCTGGGAACACGGGGCCTCAGTGGGTTCATGTTTCCTGGGGACATGGGGCCTCAGTGGGTTCATGTTTCCTGGAGGTATGGGGCTCCAGTGGGTTCATGTTTCCTGGAGGTATGGGGCCTCAGTGGGTTCATGTTTCTAGGGGGCATGGGGCCTCAGTGGGTTCATGTTTCCTGGGGACATGGGGCCTCAGTGGGTTCATGTTTCCTGGAGGTATGGGGCTCCAGTGGGTTCATGTTTCCTGGAGGTATGGGGCTCCAGTGGGTTCATGTTTCCTGGAGGTATGGGGCCTCAGTGGGTTCATGTTTCTAGGGGGCATGGGGCCTCAGTGGGTTCATGTTTGCTGGGGACATGGGGCCTCAGTGGGTTCATGTTTCTAGGGGACATGGGGCCTCAGTGGGTTCATGTTTCCTGGAGGTATGGGGCTCCAGTGGGTTCATGTTTCCTGGTGACATGGGGCTCCAGTGGGTTCATGTTTCCTGGTGACATGGGGCTCCAGTGGGTTCATGTTTCCTGGAGGTATGGGGCCTCAGTGGGTTCATGTTTCTAGGGGGCATGGGGCCTCAATGGGTTCATGTTCCCTGGGGACATGGGGCTCCAGTGGGTTCATGTTTCCTTGGAACACGGGGCCTCAGTGGGTTCATGTTTCCTAGGGTCATGGGGCTCCAGTGGGTTCATGTTTCCATGGGTTATTGTTTCTTGAGGTAACAGGGACCAAATCGCTTCATGCAAATCATCCAGAATTTGTTCCATTTGGTAGTTGTGTTACTTGTCATGAAAGTATATCACATGAGTTAGTGACAGACACTTGCTTTTCATGTGAATTATTGTAATGTTTCTGGTTTTATGCTGCTTATTATAGACACACCCACTCAAGAATTCATCTGTAACTATTATACCCCTCTTCACTTGAACAGAAATACGTACATAGCAACACCAAAGAACTCATGCAGGGCGGTTGACACGGCAACATCAGCCGACTGTAGGGTGGAGTAGTAGTCCCTCTTGTTGCCCTGGTAACCCCATGTGATGATGTGATCACCTAACTTGAACTTTGCTTCAGAAAAGATTTCTGCAGATTAAAATAGTTTCAAATGAAACTCCAAATTAAACAAAATTGACACTTCATGACATTGCACTGTATAATGAAAATTGCAAAAAAATCTGAATTAACCTCTGTCCTCTGCAATGTGAAATACTGTTTGTACCTCAGCCTGAGAGAAACAAAGTGCTGTTCTGTTCTGTTTTCATTGTACTTAACTGACTTCTCTCCTATTAATCCAATTAACTGCCTCGTTAAGTTGTTATCTTTGTACAGTAACAATTAATCATACCTCGTGTAAACATATCCTATCCTATCCTATCCTATCCTATCCTATCCTATAGATAGGAGATAGGATAGGATAGGATAGGATAGGATAGGATAGGATAGGATAGGATAGGATAGGATAGGATAGGATAGGATAGGATAGGATAGGATAGGATAGGATAGGATAGGAAATATATATATCATATCATATCATATATTGGTTTACACGAGGTACGATTAATCGTGACTGTACAAAGATAACAACTTAATGCCCTTAACCAGTATTCACCTGATGAAGAAGCAGGAAGCAAGAAGTAACCCAGAAACGTTGTACGAAAGAGAAAAGACGTTATTATCCATAATTCACTGTTACAACACCCAGCCCCATCAGACTGGAAGATGGAATAAAACTCTGTTGAATGAACGTTTATGCAAGTTAAGTAAGGATAAGATATATGGATGAACAACTTCTTAAATACAATCATAGCGACACCATCTAACACCGTTATGAAGCAAGATATCACTTGCTTGATAAGGGTGTTAGAACCTACACCGAAGGTTTTGGGCACAGACTGCACACAACGTACACACATACCTGGTACATCTGTGTACGTCTTCCGCATCCGAGATGCCTGAAGTGATGTCTGTTGTCATGGAGAAGGAATAATCACTCTTGTGCAACCCACAACAGACGCTCTTACCTGGTACATCTGTATACGTCTCTCCCATCACCGCAACCTGGAACCGATATCCTTCGTCATGGAGACGGAACAGTGCTTGGAAGAATGTGTCTGGATCTTTGTCATGTTCCCTGCAAACAAACATCACTGGATTCACTCACTCTCTCCATATACCATGTACAGGTGAGGTGAGGTGAGGTGAAGTGAGATGAGGTGAAGTGAGGTAAGGTGAAGTGAGATGAGGTGAAGTGAGGTGAAGTGAGGTGAAGTGAAGTGAGATGAGGTGAAGTGAGGTGAGATGAGATGAGGTGAAGTGAGATGAGGTGAGGTGAAGTGAAGTGAAGTGAAGTGAGGTGAAGTGAGATGAGGTGAAGTGAGGTGAAGTGAAGTGAGATGAGGTGAAGTGAGGTGAAATGAGATGAGGTGAAATGAGGTGAGGTGAAGTGAAGTGAGATTAGGTGAGGTGAGGTGAAGTGAGGTGAAATGAGATGAGGTGAAATGAGGTGAGGTGAAGTGAAGTGAGATTAGGTGAGGTGAGGTGAAGTGAGGTGAAATGAGATGAGGTAAAGTGGGTGAGGTGAAGTGAAGTGAGATTAGGTGAGGTGAGGTGAAGTGAAGTGAGATTAGGTGAGGTGAGGTGAGGTGAGATTAGGTGAGGTGAGGTGAAGTGAGGTGAAGTGAGATGAGGTGAGGTGAAGTGAGATGAGGTGAAGTTAGGTGAGGTGAGATGAGGTGAAGTGAGATGAGGTGAGGTGAAGTGATATGAGGCTAAGTGAGGTGAAATGAGATGAGGTGAAATGAGGTGAGGTGAAGTGAAGTGAGATTAGGTGAGGTGAGGTGAAGTGAGATTAGGTGAGGTGAGGTGAAGTGAGGTGAAATGAGATGAGGTGAGGTGAAGTGAGATTAGGTGAGGTGAGGTGAAGTGAGATTAGGTGAGGTGAGGTGAGGTGAAGTGAGGTGAGATTAGGTGAGGTGAGGTGAAGTGAGATGAGGTGAAGTGAGATGAGGTGAAGTGAGGTGAAGTGAAGTGAGATGAGGTGAAGTGAGATGAGGTAAGTGAAGTGAAGTGAGGTGAGGTGAAGTGAGGTGAGGTGAAGTGAGATGAGGTGAGGTGAAGTGAGATGAGGTGAAGTGAGGTGAAATGAGGTGAAATGAGATGAGGTGAAATGAGGTGAGGTGAAGTGAAGTGAGATTAGGTGAGGTGAGGTGAGGTGAAGTGAGATTAGGTGAGGTGAGGTGAGGTGAGGTGAAGTGAGATTAGGTGAGGTGAGGTGAGATTAGGTGAGGTGAGGTGAGGTGAAGTGAGGTGAGGTGAAGTGAGATGAGGTGAAGTGAGGTGAAGTGAAGTGAAGTGAGATGAGGTGAGGTGAGATGAGATGAAGTAAAGTGAGATGAGGTGAAGTGAGATGAGGTGAAGTGAGATGAGGTGAAGTGAGGTGAAGTGAGATGAGGTGAAGTGAGGTGAAATGAGATGAGGTGAGGTGAAGTGAAGTGAGATTAGGTTAGGTGAGATGAGGTGAGGTGAAGTGAGATTACGTGAGGTGAGGTGAAGTGAGGTGAAATGAGATGAGGTGAGGTGAGGTGAAGTGAAGTGAGATTAGGTGAGGTGAGGTGAAGTGAAGTGAGATTAGGTGAGGTGAGGTGAGGTGAAGAGAAGTGAGGTGAGATTAGGTGAGGTGAGGTGAGGTGAATTGAGGTGAAATGAGATGAGGTTATTGCACTACTAAAGGTCCGATGGAACAGCATTTTTGTTTGTCTCACAGCTTTTTCAACAAGGAAGGAAATCTGTATATTAGCAATATTTTCTTACAGAGATGGATGCTTACTGAAAATAATTTCTAACAGAGATGGTTCTGCCCACACAATATGAAGTGGCCTGTCACCTGTACCACACTGACTCACCATCTGTGTGCCCACACAATATGAAGTGGCCTGTCACCAGCACCACACTGACTCACCATCTGTGTGCCCACACAATATGAAGTGGCCTGTCACCAGCACCACACTGACTCACCATCTGTGTGCCATCACAATGTGAAGTGGCCTGTCACCGGTACCACACTGACTCACCATCTGTGTGCCCACACAATATGAAGTGGCCTGTCACCGGTACCACACTGACTCACCATCTGTGTGCCCACACAAAATGAAGTGGCCTGTCACCGGCATCACACTGACTCACCATCTGTGTGCCCACACAATATGAAGTGGCCTTTCACCTGTACCACACTGACTCACCATCTGTGTGCCCACACAATATGAAGTGGCCTGTCACCGGTACCACATTGACTCACCATCTGTGTGCCCACACAATATGAAGTGGCCTGTCACCAGCACCACACTGACTCACCATCTGTGTGCCCACACAATATGAAGTGACCTGTCACCAGCACCACACTGACTCACCATCTGTGTGCCCACACAATATGAAGTGACCTGTCACCTGCACCACACTGACTCACCATCTGTGTGCCCACACAATATGAAGTGGCCTGTCACCTGCACCACACTGACTCACCATCTGTGTGCCCACACAATATGAAGTGGCCTGTCACCGGTACCACACTGACTCACCATCTGTGTACCCACACAATATGAAGTGGCCTGTCACCTGTACCACACTGACTCACCATCTGTGTGCCCACACAATATGAAGTGGCCTGTCACCTGTACCACACTGACTCACCATCTGTGTGCCCACACAATATGAAGTGGCCTGTCACCGGTACCACACTGACTCACCATCTGTGTGCCCACACAATATGAAGTGGTCTGTCACCTGTACCACACTGACTCACCATCTGTGTGCCCACACAATATGAAGTGGCCTGTCACCGGTACCACACTGACTCACCATCTGTGTGCCCACACAAAATGAAGTGGTCTGTCACCTGTACCACACTGACTCACCATCTGTGTGCCCACACAATATGAAGTGGTCTGTCACCTGTACCACACTGACTCACCATCTGTGTGCCCACACAATATGAAGTGGTCTGTCACCTGCACCACACTGACTCACCATCTGTGTGCCCACACAATATGAAGTGGTCTGTCACCTGTACCACACTGACTCACCATCTGTGTGCCCACACAATATGAAGTGGCCTGTCACCGGTACCACACTGACTCACCATCTGTGTGCCCACACAATATGAAGTGGTCTGTCACCTGTACCACACTGACTCACCATCTGTGTGCCCACACAATATGAAGTGGCCTGTCACCGGTACTACATTAACTCACCATCTGTGTGCCCACACAATATGAAGTGGCCTGTCACCCGTACCACACTGACTCACCATCTGTGTGCCCACACAATATGAAGTGGCCTGTCACCTGCACCACACTGATTCACCATCTGTGTGCCCACACAATATGAAGTGGCCTGGGACCTGTACCACACTGACTCACCATCTGTGTGCCCACACAATATGAAGTGGCCTGTCACCGGTACCACACTGACTCACCATCTGTGTGCCCACACAATATGAAGTGGCCTGTCACCTGTACCACACTGACTCACCATCTGTGTGCCCACACAATATGAAGTGGCCTGTCACCTGTACCACACTGACTCACCATCTGTGTGCCCACACAATATGAAGTGGCCTGTCACCTGTACCACACTGACTCACCATCTGTGTGCCCACACAATATGAAGTGGTCTGTCACCTGTACCACACTGACTCACCATCTGTGTGCCCACACAATATGAAGTGGCCTGTCACCTGTACCACACTGACTCACCATCTGTGTGCCCACACAATATGAAGTGGCCTGTCACCGGTACCACACTGACTCACCATCTGTGTGCCCACACAATATGAAGTGGCCTGTCACCGGTACCACACTGACTCACCATCTGTGTGCCCACACAATATGAAGTGGCCTGTCACCTGTACCACACTGACTCACCATCTGTGTGCCCACACAATATGAAGTGGCCTGTCACCTGCACCACACTGACTCACCATCTGTGTGCCCACACAATATGAAGTGGCCTGTCACCGGTACCACACTGACTCACCATCTGTGTACCCACACAATATGAAGTGGCCTGTCACCTGTACCACACTGACTCACCATCTGTGTGCCCACACAATATGAAGTGGCCTGTCACCTGTACCACACTGACTCACCATCTGTGTGCCCACACAATATGAAGTGGCCTGTCACCGGTACCACACTGACTCACCATCTGTGTGCCCACACAATATGAAGTGGCCTGTCACCTGTACCACACTGACTCACCATCTGTGTGCCCACACAATATGAAGTGGCCTGTCACCGGTACCACACTCACTCACCATCTGTGTGCCCACACAAAATGAAGTGGTCTGTCACCTGTACCACACTGACTCACCATCTGTGTGCCCACACAATATGAAGTGGTCTGTCACCTGTACCACACTGACTCACCATCTGTGTGCCCACACAATATGAAGTGGTCTGTCACCTGCACCACACTGACTCACCATCTGTGTGCCCACACAATATGAAGTGGTCTGTCACCTGTACCACACTGACTCACCATCTGTGTGCCCACACAATATGAAGTGGCCTGTCACCGGTACCACACTGACTCACCATCTGTGTGCCCACACAATATGAAGTGGTCTGTCACCTGTACCACACTGACTCACCATCTGTGTGCCCACACAATATGAAGTGGCCTGTCACCGGTACTACATTAACTCACCATCTGTGTGCCCACACAATATGAAGTGGCCTGTCACCCGTACCACACTGACTCACCATCTGTGTGCCCACACAATATGAAGTGGCCTGTCACCTGCACCACACTGACTCACCATCTGTGTGCCCACACAATATGAAGTGGCCTGGGACCTGTACCACACTGACTCACCATCTGTGTGCCCACACAATATGAAGTGGCCTGTCACCGGTACCACACTGACTCACCATCTGTGTGCCCACACAATATGAAGTGGCCTGTCACCTGTACCACACTGACTCACCATCTGTGTGCCCACACAATATGAAGTGGCCTGTCACCTGTACCACACTGACTCACCATCTGTGTGCCCACACAATATGAAGTGGCCTGTCACCTGTACCACACTGACTCACCATCTGTGTGCCCACACAATATGAAGTGGTCTGTCACCTGTACCACACTGACTCACCATCTGTGTGCCCACACAATATGAAGTGGCCTGTCACCGGTACTACATTAACTCACCATCTGTGTGCCCACACAATATGAATTGGCCTGTCACCGGTACCACATTGACTCACCATCTGTGTGCCCACACAATATGAAGTGGCCTGTCACCGGTACCACACTGACTCACCATCTGTGTGCCCACACAATATGAAGTGGCCTGTCACCTGTACCACACTGACTCACCATCTGTGTGCCCACACAATATGAAGTGGCCTGTCACCGGCATCACGCTGACTCTTCATCTGCAGTGTCTGTCCTCTAACACTGAAAGAGCTCTGTGACACACAACACAGTCCATCACCAGCCTCAACTGCTTCATGCATCTCCTGGTCGCCAATTATCCCCAGGTCGCCACGTATCCCCAGGTCGCCACGTATCTCCAGGTCGCCATGCATCTTGGCTGCATCACTAACATCACTGCCTGTTTTACCTTGGATGCTCTGCGGTGAGTCACTACACAGTTCCAGTGCAGGTTTACACATTCCTATGTCATCATTCACCGAAACAGGTTCAACATTTGGCACATCAGGTCCCCCCTGTCTTGGTGGAATTGGATTTCGTTTTCCTGTTTTGGAACAAGGCTGGTTTTCGTGTGGGTCACGATGTGGACACTTCACTTCTGTCTGAGGGTCACTATATGGGCTGTCTCCTTCTATCTGAGGGTCACTATATGGGCGGTCTGTTTCTGTCTGAGGGTCACTATAACGGCTGTCTGTTTCTGTCTGAGGGTCACTATATGGGCGGTCTGTTTCTGTCTGAGGGTCACTATATGGGCTGTCTGTTTCTGTCTGAGGGTCACTATATGGGCTGTCTGTTTCTGTGTGAGGGTCACCATATGGGCAGTCTCCTTCTGTGTGAGGGTCAGCACTGTGAGGTGTTCCCTGCATCAATGAGGCATCTGTGTTCTGTGTCTTACCATAACCTGGGCACATGAAGGACAGGGGAAAGTACAGAACCTGACACTTTGGTCTGATCTGTTCTGCTAGACCCTTGGGTCTGTGGTCTGGCATCAGCTTGAGGAAGGATGATATGTTATCCAGAAAGGAATCTCTGTTGTATGTGGAGTTGAATAGGACAATGTCTGCGACCAGGCTGCATTAAAACAAAATAAAATAAACAGCTTAAATTTTCTGAGTGAGTTTTGACAAATGCTCATTTGAATAGTAATTTAGCATCAGCTTAAAGAATAAACTGGGTTTAATGCTGTTTTGTAAATTGTTTCAGTCATATTACAACATACAGGTATTCTCCTAAACAGTAATAACCAGTGTCCTGAGTTTGCAAAAGTACAGCTAACCAGCTTCAATGGCAGCATCTTCCCGAGTTAACTGACTATAAAAGTCCAGTTTCCACCCTTGCCGAACTAGTCTGGAATATCTGGGCGAGATTGTAGCACTACCAGTGTTTTTTACGAGTTGTGTCCCTTCTATGCCTCTCCTATTGACCAATCAGATTCCACCTCTTGTATCACATGCATTTGCTTCAAACAAAATGGCGGTGCCCAGTCAAGACGATGTGATCAATAATCAGGATCTATATTGTAATAAAACGGAAAATATCTGCTGACGCCGAGTTGGCGGTGCACCTCATTTGCAAATCCTGCATCAGACCTAAATCTGCATGACAGTTTTCAAACCGGATTTCGATTTCATTACGCGATTTTGATTGGACTATGCATAGATTTATTAATCAAGCCAAAATATAACTCCATAATACCAGCCTAGTTCGGCAAAGGGGAAAATGGACTTTTAAAGTCAGTTAACTCACTTGCCTCGAGAAGATGCAATAGCAGAGAGATCCGTGATGTCATTTGATTGTGATGACATGGTAACAGATGGAGTCGTAATGGTCTGCAAAACATTGTGATGTAATTTCATTGTAGTGATATTGGGTAATCTCACCCAAGTGATTACTCCTGTGGAAGACATATTTTAATCATAAATTAGAGCATCTGATCAAATAAATGTGGAATGAAAGCTAACAGTGACTGCAGATTCACACTGTTTGTTTGGTGAACTTACTGAGTTTGAGTATGGTGGTATGGTCCTGGCAAATCAAGGATCATAACCAAGGTGAAGTTGATATTTGAAAACTACGAACAGCCCATCCTAGCACAACAAAGGGACACAATTCTGTGTTGTAATTGCAGTGGCAACAGGAATCTGATTCCTGATTTAAATAAGGTAATTTTATGTGTTTTTACTTTTAAGTTTACTCATAGTAGAAGAGTGTTTGATTCTAAAAGCCCATAAAATTAGACCTCTGAACCCTTCCTAAAGTTGTTAGATGAAGATATAGCATACTACAGAGTGAACGAACCTTGACAATATTTGATTATATCCATACTGGAAGTCTCTGTTCTGCTGTTTCCGGACGGGGTAGACCAGCTGGTTCTCATGGAAGTACAGGACCTTTCTAAGTCGCCCAAGGTCAGGTCTAAGGGCAGATAACTCTGCCAAATTCAGGACTGAGCTGGTGAATAATACTCTGTATGGATAGGAGAAATTAATGAAAGTTATTTATCAAAATCAAAAACAGTATTTAATCCCTCTTGACTTCTTATACCAACCATTTCATGTAATGATTGTTCACCTTGTGAATGTATTTTTTGTTTAACCTTGCATGCACTCAGCAACATACCTGTTAAGTGATGACAGCCTCTAAATAATTGAATCTGGACCAGACAAACCAGTGATTGATATTATGAGCAAAGAATCACCCTTTCAGGGAACAATGACATGCAATCAACCAAATCATCGAGTCAGACCATCGGATCCATTTAGTAGTCTCTTAATTATGACCAGCATACAGTGTAGCTCGTGAAGACCCATTCTTACCTGCAATTTCATTAAGGGCCATATGTAACTCGGAATATAATTGGTCAGTGTAATAACAATAGTTATATTACAGACATAAAATGCACATTGTTTGGTAATACTAACTAGTGACACAACACGTAGCATATCCACAGAATTGAAATGAGAAGTCGCTATACTAAAGGGACTTTACAACATCGGAATCAGCTTAATTTAGCGAAATGACGTAAATATTTGATTTCTAACACTGGAAATCGTAAGTAACGTACCGAAACTCTGCACATTGTGGCACCCTTTGACTGAAATAGAGGGCAGACGTCCTGGCTCTCCAGTGCCACTTCTTGGCTGGCAAAGTGTATCGAACACACCCCGTCAGTTTGTCAAACAACAGATCAACCAACTGCTTGTGAGATCCGCCATAAAAAGCTTCGATTATCAATATCTTACATCCCTTTTCTGACTTCTCTGGAGATGCTGCCATCTGCGTTGGTCACCTAACGACGAGTTACGTCATTCGTGAATGTATTGATGAAGTATTTGCCATCTGCAGCTGAACAGAACTGAAGTGCAACTCAAGAAGACATGTGGATTTGTTTACTAAGGGAGATAACTCTAATGTAAGTACATATGTGCACACCACGCTAAAATTGTTTCGATCAGAACCAGAAAGAATAGTTTATTAATAGGGCGTTAAAATGAGAACAGCGTATTTACATTACCAGCTGATTACTGGTAAAATCACTTGTTGTGCTAGCGCTGAATTTGGTTTAAATTGGGAATGTATATGAAAAAAACCAAACCGGAATCTCGTCAAAGTGACGGGGTTTAATCTGTTTGGTCCAACTATTTATGGGAGCAAAACGATTCGACTTCCAATACATTTCTATTTTCGGGAAACGGTGATTCGTGGAGACTTTTTATATATCGGAATTGAACCGTAATAGTTCCTAATTTCTTTTATTATAATTTTGTTTTGATTGGATTTGCAGGATACTTTGTGACTACTATTATAGGACCCGTGAAGATCCGGGTCAACCCATGCTTGAGGCGACTAACAGGATTGGGTGGTCATGCTCGCTGACTTGGTTGTTGCATGTCATCGTATCCCAATTGCATAGATCGATGCTCATAATGTCAATCACAGCATTGTCTGGGCCATACTTGATTATTTACAGACCTCCGCCAAATAGCTGGAATATTGCTGAGTACAGCGTTAAACAGCAAACAAACAAACAAACGAAACTGCTATTATAAAACAAAACAAAACATCAGGTAAGTACATCCAAGCCGAGAAGGACAATTGGTATGGGAGTGGGGTATGGGATTACCCATAGATCCAAACTGAGAAGGATACTAATTAGTGTTTCCGCAATTGTCTCTATAAAGGATGACTGGTAGAACTTGCATATCCCGTGTGCGACATACTGTTGGAGTTCTATTCAAACGCCGGGGGAAAGATGCTATGATACCCCGTGTCTCCATAACAGGCAAACCTATCAAATTCGAAAAATCTGCAATATTTCTCGGGGTGATCCTTGATCAACACCTCACTTGGCGCAAACATATAGAATATGTGGAAAACAGATGTCAAAAAGACCTGAACGTATTACGGGCAATTTCAGGCACATCTTGGGGCACATCGAGGGTCACTCACCTGGACCTCTACAAATCTCTTATCAGATAAAAAATTGACTATGGTTGTGAGGCTTTTCATTCAGCATCAAATACTGTCTTGAGGCGCCTAGATAGAATACAATACAAAGCCCTAATGCTGGCCACAGGCGCAGCAACAGGCACCTCACTAGAAGCACTACAAGTAGAAACGGGAGAACTCCCATTGAAACTAAGAAGAGAGCAGGCAATATTATCGTTCTGGGGACGAACATCAAACCCTTTGGTTAAAAAGATATGGCAAGGCCAAAACACTCGAGATGAAGCCCTAGCTCGAAACAATTCCTCACATACTCATCTGGGATATTAGTACGTGAACTCATTCGAAGTCACAATTGTGATGACATTCAGCCTCCAGAAAGTCACTACAAAGGGTTACACCCTCCCTGGACTTTAAAAACTCCCAAAGTTGACACTGCTTTAACATCAGAAGTCACTAAAAAAGAAAACCCAACCCTGCTACGATCAGTAGCTTTCACTAAAATTCAAACTACCTGGGACAGCTGGGCCCATATATACACTGATGGATCCAAGAATCCTATCAACAACAGTGCTGGTTACGGGATCCATATCCACAGCTCCAAACCCCAAGCACATTCAGTTCGCTTGCCTGATGGTCAGTCAGTATTCACGGCTGAATTGGAGGCAATTCATCATGCACTCAAACTCATACCGGAACTTCCGGAAGCAAAGGCAGTTGTCCTATCAGACTCGCTAAGTGCACTTTAGGCCATCAGTGGCAGAAACTCAAACTCCAGGCCAAACACTGTCAACAATATTCTATACGAATATACAAAACTATCAGACCAAGGGCAACAGATGGATCTGTGTTGGATCCCCTCCCACATAGATATTCATGGAAATGAAAAAGCAGACTCACTGGCGAAGCTAGCTCTAGACAAAGCGGATATACAGCATATTCCCTTTAGTAAACTAGAGATAAAAATCAAAATCAAAGCCTCCATAGCAGAAAGATGGCAAGCCCAATGGGACGCAAGTAAGATCGGCAGATGGCTATACAAAATTCAACCCAAGGTCCAACAAAAGCCAAACTCATACTCAAATGAAAGGAAAATTGAAATTTCTATCTCACGCCTCAGACTTGGTCTCAAAAAACACTATGACAAGGTTTGTTCATCTTGCAATCAGGCTGAAACCATTGATCACGTGTTACTAGAATGTCATGACCATGCCCCAGCCCGGGCTAGGTTAAAACAAGAATTGCAGTTAGATCCGCTATCTGTCATAGATCTCCTAAAGCCAAGAGATGCAATAGCGAAGGCCAAACTAACTCTATTTCTGAGAGATGGACAGCTACTCGAACGTATATAAACAGAGCAGCCAAGGATAAAAATGAAATCATATCAATATAAGAAAAAAGAAATCATATCAATACAAAAACAGAAATTATGTAAACACCAAACTCACAATAGAAATGTGTACCCTTCTCACACACAGGAGTCCCAAAGAGGGACAGGTCAGCCGAAATTGCCTAGGCAGAAGGCGACCTCTTAAACACTTAATGCAACATCAACAGCGACATACGCTTGCAGTTGGAAAGCGCACGTTAAATATCCAATATAAGTAAGTAAGTACTTGCATATCACATCACACCAGGTCATAATGCAACAAATATTTATTACCAATTAAAATTTAGGATTTGAAATATATTTGCCACGTAATAACTCAATACTTATATGTAATCACTAATAAATCATTGTTCAGTTCTTTTCTCAATTGTATTTGTTTTGTCAACGAATACACCGTGAGTTTTGTCTACGAGTTGGGAGTGGTACGAATTGGTTTGGTTACGAAGTTACCTCCAACCATCAATATTCCCATGAGGGTGACGGCTCCACAGACAGGTGCCCGTTTGCTGTATAAGGGTGGTGGCTGAAACGTTACCAAACTACGATGGGTGTGTAGTGCACACTTAACAAGTTTCCCGTATTAAGTACAATTCTTCCCATGCTTTCAGGCTGCGTTTGAACATAATCAGTCAATTCAGTGGAACATCTCCATCAGCTGCCAGAGCTATGGCTTAGTTTTTCTGGGACTCCAAAGGAATCCTAATCGTGGCCAACCTCTGAAAAGGTCAGACCATTAATGACCAATATTATTCTGATCTGCTGAGGCAACTGTGTAAGAAAAGCAGGGCTAAAACTCGTGGAAAACTCACTAAAGATGTGTTGTCCAAGCAGGACAAGCACCTGTGCACATGTCTATTGTTGTCATGGTAAGCTATGGCTGTAATGCACGACTGTGGCTTTCAACTTCCTCCGTATTCACCAGATTTGGCACCGTAGATTTCCCACCTTCTTCCTAAACTTGAAGCAAGAACTGTCTCGGAGGGGATTATGTTGGAAAAACAAATATTAGTAGTCCATCATAGTGAGACTCAGAACTTTTCAGTCATCCCTTGTAGGGTCAAGTGTTGTAATTAGTGTCATGTGTGAAATAAGGACTTGTTTCTCTCTAAATGGGGGGCACGAGTGGCCCAGTAGTCTAAGGCGCCGCAAGTCGCTGTGCAGAGTTGCGTCCCTTGGGCACGCCAGAAACCTATGATTGTGGGTTCGAATCCCGGTTCGCCCCAATTATGTTTCTAGGTTTGTCAGCACCATACCCGTGCTCGTGGGTTTCACCGAAGTGGTAAACGTCTGACTCCTGCATCATTTCGTGCTTTCCTCCCACAATAAGCTGACAGCTGTGATGTAACTGGAATACTGTTCAAAGCGGAGTTAAACCCAACTCACTCACTCACTCTCTAAATAGGGTAGTGGTACTGTTCCATTGTTACACTTCACAAAGTGGGAGGTAGCAGACAAATAAATGTCACTTGAATCAAACTGGCTTTGACTGTAAATTTGTCTGAGACTACATACTACCTCTCAGAAATTGAGATCACCTGGTAGCAATAACCTGGCTGATTGTGTGACATTATACCCCAATGATGTGGCTTGTTACTCATGCTATCAACCACATTTATTCCTAATTTGAGAATTGGCTGCAACCATGTAAAGTAGACACAATTTATGGATAACAACATATTTATTCACTGTAAAGACGTTTGAGTATAGATACTTATACCCTTGTCAAGCAAGGCCGACACCATGATATATCAATTGTTTGTAATTTAATGCCACACTCACCAATATTCCAGCTATATGACATTAGTCTGTATTTAATCGAGTTTGGACCAGACACTTCAGTGACACATTGTGAGCAACAATCCATGCCGTTTGGGTGAGTGAGTGAGTGAATATGGTTTTACTCCGCTTTTAGCAATATTCCAGCAATATCACGGCGGGGGACACCAGAAATGGGCTTCACACATTGTACCCATGTCGGGAATCGAACCCGGGTCTTTGCCATGACGAGTGAACGCTTTAACCACTAGGCTACCCGACCGCCCCCCATGCCCATGGGTTTGAAGACATGCAATGAACCATGTCATCGAGTCTGACCACCCATCCAATTGGTTGCCTCTTACTACCAGCATAGGTTGCTGAGGGCTCTTTCTAACCCGGAATCCCAATGGGGGCCATGTTAAGACTGTGATGTTTCTGACGTAAAGGAATGTAAAGAAAACAAGAATAAGCACAAAATTTTTAAGGGTATTTTTTATTTAAAAAGATAGAGTGAAAAAATATAGTGTTCATGTGAAAGTAGCACAAATAGCTGTGCGAGTATATGGTTATACGATGTTGTGGCCTATGGTAGAGGATTTGCATCCTAATCAAGACTGACACAATTGTTTCATATGTGTGTTAGTGGTTCATTAACTCAGTATTTGTAAAGTCTGTCCCTGATCATGCTGATAACACTGTTGGTGGTAGATAACACAATATTTGTACCCACTGTTGGTGGTAAATAACACAATAATTGTACCCACTGGTGGTAGATAACACAATATTTGTACCCACTGGTGGTAGATAACACAATATTTGTACCCACTGTTGGTGGAAGATAACACAATATTTGTACCCACTGTTGGTGGTAAATAACACAATAATTGTACCCACTGGTGGTAGATAACACAATATTTGTACCCACTGGTGGTAGATAACACACAAAATATTTGTGCCCACTGTTGGTGGTGGATAACACAATATTTGTACCCACTTTTGGAGGTAGATAACACAATATTTGTACCCACTGTTGGTAGATAACACACACAATATTTGTGCCCATTGTTGGTGGTAGATAACACAATATTTGTACCATTGTTGGAGGTAGATAACACAATATTTGTACCCACTGTTGGTGGTAGATAACACAATATTTGTACACACTTTTGGAGGTAGATAACACAATATTTGTACTGTATTTGTTCATACATAAATGCGGCATACAATAGGTGTATCAGGTCCTTTCCCTTTTTGTATTTTGGGAGCATAAACTATTGTCATGGAATATTTGATTCACTGAAATTGTCCTGTTTGAATGTGATAAAGAAAAGAGCAACTGATAAGTAAAAATATATAATCATGACCGTAGATGAAACAATAAACATTTTGGAATGTGTATCAATGTATGAAGGGGAAATTTTCCAACAAACGCTATGGAAGTACCAGTCAATATTCCAGTAACGTACTTTTCCTTTACTGGGGGCACCGGTGGGCAAGTCATCTACAACACCTCACTGTACTGGATTGCGTACCTTGGGCATGCCAGGAACCTATGATTGTCTGTTCGAATCCCGATGCTACCCGATTATGTTTCCAGGTTTGTCAGCATCATACCCGTGCTCGTGGTTTTCACCAAAGTGGTAAACATCTGAGACCCGCATCACTTCGGGCTTTCCTCCCACATCAAGCTGACACACTGTGATATAACTGGAATACTGTTCAAAGCGGTGTTACACCCAACTCACTCACTCACTCTTCTTACAAAAAACTGTTATTAACAAAATACTGTATAAACCCTAACATAACTGAAATACTGTTCTAACCAGTGTTGAACCTAACACACTCACTCACTCATACAAATCCAATAACAGGTAGGCCGTTCTTTCAGAGATTGCCTCTTGGTAGTCAGCAGGAGAGAGTTTTCCCTTTTGATGTACTGGGTACAGCAATACATGCTGCACATTTGGATTAATTTCTCAGCTTACAAATCAAATTTACAAAACATGTTCTGATCGACTACAAATAAGGTAAATTAAACATTAACATCAATCTCAACATATTCTCTAACATCATATTCAACCTCTACATTTTTAGAAGTCTTATAATCTGCCACTGCAGCATTGATCGCTTTAAACAGCGGCCATTTTGTTTTCCCATCACACGATCCCTTGTAGTCGTCGGCGTTGAGCATGAAGACCATGGCTCCTCCAAACCCCTGCTGCAGCAGGTACTGGGCCTGGAAGACAAGGTCAGGGGAGATGATCACCCAGTGTTAGAGGAGAATACGAGCTAGGTGATAATACCTGTAAAGGTATAAATACCAGGGAAGAGATATAAACCACTTGGGAGATATACTGATGGAAACGAATGAAGGAACAATGAAAAATATAGGGAAATAAGCTTTACTGTCAGTACATTTTAAATAGCAAGCCTACAAATTCAACATGTCAGAATTAAATGTTGAGATGTGTGCATTGTTTCCAACATGTATTTGGTAGGCAAGACTGGGCACCCATGATAACATTTCATTTTACTGTGTCTAAAACTAGGTGTTCCCTTATTCATTTCCATCAGTATATATACCAGTTGGAGGCTAAATATCAGTGGGCAGATATACCACTTTTGAGATATATACCAGCTTGAAATATTACTAGTTAGGAGATATATACCACTTGGGAGATATATACCAGTTTGAAATGTTACCAGTGAGGAGATATATACCACTTGGGAGATATATACCAGTCTGAAATATTACCAGTTAGAAGATATATACCACTTGGGAGATATATACCAGTTTGAAATATTACCAGTTAGGAGATATATACCACATGGGAGATATATACCAGTTTGAAATATTACCAGTTAGGAGACATTTAGGAGATAAATACCTCTGTGCATGTGTGCGGGTTTGCGTGTCCTGGTTGGAGTGAGTGAGTGAGTATGGTTTTACGCCGCTTTTAGCAATATTCCAGCAACATCACGGCAGGGGACACCAGAAATGGGATTCACACATTGTACCCATGTCGGGAATTGAACCCGGATCTTCAGCCTGACGAGCGAACGCTTTAACCACTAGGCTACCCGATGGCCCCTTCCTGGTTGGAAGTCACATCAGGGCAAGTTTAACATGTTCCAAGTTGTGACACAGATCGGTACATGGCCATGATGATGTTTACCTTGAGTGTGACGCTGCGAACGTTGTCGTAGGAGATCCACAAGTCTCCCTGGTACAGGTAGGGGACCTTACTCTTGTCATCCCACACTACCGTTGTACTGTTGTTCTTAGCCAGCTTACATGTCTGAAATGAAAGAACACATCAGTTGATGTATCTGTGTGTAGATGAAGTGAGTGAGCAAGGGTGGATCCAACATTCTTAAAAGGGAGGGGTCCAAAATATCAAAATCCTCTCTCAGATAATTTTACAGCCAACAACATACATTTGGTTTTCAAAAGGGGAGGGGGGGAAATCCAGACCCCCTGGACACCCATGTGGACTGCCTATGGTAAGTAAGGTTTCATGCTGCTTTTAGTTTGTTTGTTTGTTTAACACCGCACTCAGCAATATTCCAGCTATATGACGTCAGTCTGTAAATAATCAAGTCTGGACCAGACAATCCAGTGATTGATAACATGAGCATCGATCCATGCAATTTGGATACTATGACTTGCATCAACCGAGTCAGCGAGCCTGACCACCCGATCCCGTTAGTCGCCTCTTAAGACAAGCACAGGGCTCATTCCAGGAATTTTCTGACATGGGCCCTTTATCTGAAAATTATAAATATTCAAGAGGTACAAACACACTTGCCCATACAGCACAATGCTAAAATGCCCCATTGTCTTTGAAAATGTGGACCTTTTTTCAAGTTTAGGGGCTAAAAGTACAAGGCCCCTACCTAGAATTAACCCTGCAAGCATAGGTGCCTTTTACAGTTGCTGAAGACCTATTCTACCCCGGATCTTCACGGATCTCATGCTGCTTTTAGCAATATTCCAGCAGCATCATGGCGGAGGCAACAGAAATAGACTTCACAATGTACCCATGTGGAAAGGTGAATGTGACCTTCAATGTGACGACTCAACGCTTTGATACTGGGCTGACCCACTGACCTAATCTGTGTGTAACCCAGGGGTCCGGAAAATTTAAAATCCCAATCGGACATTTGCATTTAGGCCACGCCCCCTTCAAATAGCGTATTTTAGTACAACTTTTCACACACATTACCAGTTGTTACGTATTCATAATATGATGAATTATTTAAATTTAAATTGTTTAATTCACCAGACAATTAATAACAAATAACATCATTTTAGAATTACATGGAAAATATACGTTTATTTCTGTTATAATAACAATCTATTAACGTAGTGAACGGTCTTATTAATATTCATGAGTTGTATCTGCTCAAGTGTATGCGTTGTAACATTTGGATCGAGACTATATCCCATGACATTACCACGTGACGGGAAAAGATTTTTTTTTAAACTAAAGATATGACCGTTTCCGGACCCCTGGTGTAACCATAAACACCATCATGACAAGAATAACACTGAAATTATTAAGAACTGTAAAAAGAAACTTTGCCATGCACACAAAACGCATTAAAGGCCAAAAGGAGGTCAGTGTTTTTGTTCACCTCTAGGCAACACCCCAACGGACCCCTACATACTTACGGTATCATAGCCAGGGAAGTCCCCCATACGTCCGACCCCTTTAGCCAAAGAGTAGATTCCATGTGACTTTTCATCGAGCAGCGTGTATGAGTGAGCGTACGTGGGAATTCCTGTCATCACCTGACTCTTCTTCATCCCCTGCCGCACCCATTCATTGGGCGACCAAACCTAGAGAGCATCACATCATTGTTTTATCATTAGTTTTATCATAATCACTACTGGAAAACACAAGTCAGATTGTGTCACGATCTGTCGGCTTAAAAACATGGTTGAAAGAATTATGAACCTGCCAATATTTGCCAAAGATCATTTTGTTGATTTTGCACACAGCATGAATATTTTTCTTGAAAAGAGTTCTCTGTAGTCCCCAATGTGAGAAATATTAAAATCACATGGGGACATGAACATCATATACATTTTTCATTATTCCATTTTGGAACAGATTGTTTTAGCCTGGAGATACAGAGAATGACAGTTTTTATCACTCTGTATCACTGGAGGAAGAAGAGAAATCTTCTTTGATAGGCATTTAGAGAACTCTTTTTCTCCGACTTTAGTTGTGCCTTTCTTGCAAGAAAAGTGTTTCTTTTTTATCAGGCCTTATGATCGCCTCTCAAGACAATTAGTTCTGGCGGCCTATTTTAACTCAGGTCCCCATGGGGTCAAACGTACAAAGTATCTGTTTTTGAAGATGGTCTTGTCCAGCACATCGTCCCCGGGGTAGAGGGGGCTGTTGAGGCCAGTAAACGGGAATACCTCCAGGTACAGATGCATGTCATAGGTCATCACGTTCACAAAGTCCACGTACCTAGCAGCAAACAAACATTGCATGACATACACACTGAATCAGGGCAGAGAACAGACCCAACCTTCAACTAAGATTCCTAAACAGACTGAACCATCAACTAAGATTCCTAAACAGACTGAACTATCAACTAAGATTCCTAAACAGACTGAACCATCAACTAAGATTCCTAAACAGACTGAACTATCAACTAAGATTCCTAAACAGACTGAACCATCAACTAAGATTCCGAAACAGACTGAACCATCAAAGTTCAGAAACAGATCTAACCTTCCACAGGCAACTTTCAACTGATTTAGGTACTGACTATTTCATATTCTTGAAAACAATATTGCCTGCCACAAAATGATATTGCTGCAAGGTGTTTTTGTTTCAGATACAATATCTGGGTTTGTAACTGCAGCTGAAAACATATCTGATCTTGATACACAATCCCAGGCACCCCACAGACTGGGCCAATGGGGCACTGCTAGTGTCCAATACTGCTTACTGGCCACAAGTGAGGCACCCCCCAGACTGGGCCAATGGGGCAGTGCTAGTGTCCAATACTGCTTACTGGCCACAAGTGAGGCACCCCCCAGACTGGGCCAATGGGGCACTGCTAGTGTCCAATACTGCTTACTGGCCACAAGTGAGGCACCCCCCAGACTGGGCCAATGGGGCAGTGCCTTTGTCCAATACTGCTTACTGGCAACAAGTGAGGCACACCCCAGACTGGGCCAATGGAGCAGTGCTTGTGTCCAATACTGCTTACTGGCAACAAGTGAGCCCCCCCCCAGACTGGGCCAATGGGGCAGTGCTAGTGTCCAATACTGCTTACTGGCCACAATTGGGCAATGGGGTGGCCAAGTGGTGAAGCCCTTGCTTGTCACACCAAAGGCTGGGTTCAGTTACCAACATGGGTACAATGTGTAAAGCCCAATTCTGACATCCCCAGCAATGATGTTGCTGGAAAGGTGCTAAAACTAAAACCTCACTCACTCACTCACTCACTCGTAACAATACATACTTGGCTAGTTCGGCCACCTCGTAACAGGTGCTGATCATTCCCTCCCCAGCACTGACAGCCATGGTCAGCAAGAGATGACTGCCGCCATTCTGCGTCTCGTCCGCGTCAAACATCTCTCTTATAGTCTGTAAGAAAAGAAAATGTTCAAATTGATCAGGAAGGAGAGCCTTGTGTTCAAATTTGTATTGATACTTCAACCTGTTTCTGAAAATATTCGAAAAAAATTGCATTTAAAATTTAATTACTAAATGGCTTTATCGTGAGTTTCCAAACCATAGGCTAATTACTGCTTACTTCTACTCAATCACCCCTGTAACTAAATTACTCCGCTATGAACGGGCGGGGCACTAGTTCTCCCGCCATAAGCGTCATCTCTCCTTTGTTTCATCGTCTAATCTCTCCTTTGTTTCATCGTCTACAGTAAGCCATCGGCACATCGGCTCCCTTCAAGTATATATGTGTTTCACCACATGTAACGCTTTCGCGTTTGTCCTCAGGTTTTGATGAAGTAAATAAATCGTCCGCAGGATACGCTGGATGGGAGTTTAGTTCCTCCTTTCCGAGAATTTACTTTTATATTTTGAATAGTTGACTGTCTTAAACAAAAATCTCAGAAACTATATCCCAAGACCCCTCAACCATGCTCAAATTGACTCACCTTCACTACCAGGGTGAGATTACGTCTCCGTGCAGGAGGGTGGCCGAATGTGGGAAATTCCCAGTCCATGTCCAGTCCATCGAATCCATACTTCCTCATCCAAGGAACCGTGCTCCTGGCAAACCTGGACACAGGGACAATATGATCACAAAACTATTCGTCTTATCTCCATGTCAGAATGTTCATATCTGATTGGTCCACATGATCTTGATAAAATAGCATGTATCCTGCTAGGGAGGAAAATAAATTTCTGAGTAGGAGAATAAATCCCTTATACCCCGCTATGAACCAAAAAGCTGCACATTGCTTACGAGTCAATAAAAGTCATGAGATACAATGTTATATGTCAGTGTAATTTATTGTTAAACAATGTTGTAATTGTGTTGCATTGTTTCTGTTGAGATTCAATGGAAGTTCATAGCTTGTGTTTTGACAATGTTTGGTTATCGGGAATGTAGTACTTTCTTATGTAAGTAGCGATGAGGAGGTTACTTTATTTAGATGCTTTTGGAGTAAGTGTGATCTGGAATCTTCAAGATGGAGTCTTACCTTGTCCTATTTTCTTCAGTATTCAAAACCTGGCTGAAGTTGCCTCCATTGCAAAGCAACACTTTCAAGGATGGTTTGAGTTTCTTCATGGTCGCAATTTTTGAGTAGTAGGTCTCTGCATCCGATACATTCCGAGGTGTCATTTGTGCATTTTCGATGGTTGTTATCATAAAGATGATGTGTGAACAGAGAGACACATTCATTGCTGGAGGAAGTGGAGTTGTGAATGGTTCCTGATTCATATCAAAGTAACACACAATGTTGAATGTAGAGTTATCTCCCCTGGTTTGTTGTTTCGAGTTACCTCCCATTGATTGGTAAGCACTAAATGAGTACTGCCTTGAAATACTTGGTGAGCCGCCAGCATCTGTGAATGGAGAGTCCATGTTCAATCAGCATCAGAAAAATACTTTGGTCCCACTGACAAATGGAGGTAAATATTAATCAGGATCACACATATTAAACTCAATTCACTGATGTTGTCTATCAAGGGAGCAACTATTTGATTTTCAGGGGTGGCAGACGGGCCAGGATTTTTATTTTGAGCATCTTTTTTAATGTTTAGGAGCTCAATTATTTTTCCCAAATAGATAAACTATATTCTGTTAACAATTGTCTAATAGAAGAAGGCACACTATTTTTCCCCCTACAATGCCGGGCATATCTAAAAGAAAATCAATATTCAATAAAAATTAATCATTTCTACAGACTGAAGAATGACAGTAGCTATCCAGTTTAGTAAAGTTACCAAACAATATCTGGCCAGCCACTCTCTTCTACTGCCATCAGCATATGACCTGCTAGCATGAACTCAATTCATTTGCTCGAGGTGAGGTGAGGATAATTGGGTTTGATTTCAAGATGACATGCATGGAATGGATAATAAGCCCCTGATGACCATCTCTGGTTCAACCAAGACTAGAACTTGTTTACGGTGTAACTGGGCTGTGGGAGAGCCTGGGGGTTAAAGCATTTGCTCGCCATGCCGAGGACCCGGTTAGGTTTCAACATGGGTACAATGTGTGGAGCCTATTTCTGCTGTGAAGCCTATTTCTGCTGTCCCCTGCTGTGATATTGCTGGAACATTGATAGAAGCAGCATAAAACCATACTCAGTCACTCACTCACCAGGGAGTAATTACATCGATTACGGTATTATCTGAAAGTGGTGCTTTCCCTGTATATCTTTCTCAAGCCATTAGGTAGTGTCAAGTGGTTGACCACTCCATCACAAGGTGAACACGACCACCTCCGCAGTCTATTGGATGGAGCATTTGGTGTAATCACCTGGCTGTGTGCATCACATCAAAAGACATGAGAAGATGGTACTTGCATAGCAATGTGTGGCTGCTTGTACTGTTCCAGATATATTTGCCGGTTTTCTAGCACAAGGCGACCAAGATACCATGCCACAGTTTAACATGGATACCCCACTCAGACACATTATACCGACTCCGATCTGACCAGTCCTGTTTTATCCCCTTAATGGTTCATGAGAACCAGGCAGGGTAACAACAACATTTAACAACTTTTGGTTTGATGCGGCCAGGGGACCTTTGGCACTATGATCTACTGTCTGCACCCTGCTAATATTGAAGTGTACGAATCTGTCAGGAGGTCCTGTGTTAATGAGGTGTTCCTGTACAAGTCATCCCCGTCACCTTGAGCACCTGTCAGGACACAGGCGGCAACTGCAGCCAGTGTGAGTATGGTCCTCATCCTCGTCCTTGTCCTCGACCTGAACTGCAGGGGACTTCTCAGTCTTCTAATCTACAAAAACAAGATTAAACATGCATACAAACATCACCGGAAACTTGAAACTTAGACATAATTAATTTTGATATGGATTAACGGCGCCATGTGCCATGCTCTATTTGTTTTGGGTTAGAGAAAGTTACGTACGGATGAGAAATAAATTGTTTGATAGGCATACGTAGAAGTTGGCAGATGACAAAGTAGACACAATTTATGGCTAACAACTTCTTTAATACTGTAAAAAACAACATTTTGGTTTCGATCCTTATACCGTTGTCAAGCAAGTCTTGCTTGACAATGATATAAGGATCTATACTGAAACATCGCTTTTTTTCAAGTCTTGCTTGACAACAGTATAAGGATCTATACTGAAACATCGCTTTTTCGAGTCTTGCTTGACAACGGTATAAGGATCTATACTGAAATGTTGCTTTTTACAGTATTAAAGAAGTTGTGAGCCATAAATTGTGTCTACTTTGGGATGAGTAATAGTTGATGATGTTACAAACTTTTAAAAGAAACTTTATCTCTATCTTGCAATGTTTAATGATATGTGTACATACAAAATACATAAGTAATCATGAAAATATTTTTTAAAACATTCCCAACTGCAAATTATTACACAAAACATGTTTGTGTCAGTTGGACACAAAGATCAAAGAAAGAATTTAACACTATATCATATGAGTAATTGTAAGATAGATGTAAACACATTTTTAAAAGAAGCCATATCTTTCTCTGTCTCATGTTTAATGATATGAGTACATATGAAATGCAAAAATCATTATGAAAATATCTTTTAAGACATTCCTAATTAATTGTAAAGGCTCAGTGATCAAAGGGGGACAAATTTTGTTATGGAGACAGGCGGGGTTGACCTAGTTACTGTGTAGAGAGGTATGAGCACTTCTGTACAGCGTGAATAACTGACGTATCAGTCTGCTGAGTAAACATACTGTATGTTAAGCATTAGGGAGTTCACACTCATAGAGAAGTGTGATTCAGGGTTATATAAAAGCTATGCACTCACATCGTTGTGGGTTTCAATTTTAACAATACCTGCATGTCTCCACTGATCTAGTTCATTATAAAACAGGATTTTTCACTTCCTGTGACAGGGGTTGTGACATCACTATGGAGTTTTTAACATTGAATCTATTTATAACATGTGTGAAAGCGAGGCTTGGTTTTCATCTATAAGTGGTAACATAGGCTGAGCTTGCACACTGATATGACATGCCAACAATTGAGTTGTTATGCCATTCAGTTAAAATTTTGAACATTTATCACGTATACCACTATAACTGTGTCAACTAAATATCTCTCCTTCCTTGAAAATTATAACAAATGTTTCAGAAGTCATTGTTGTAATTTTCTTTTACTTATTTCATGATAAGTCTGATTTCTATTTTTATATTACATATGTATTACCGTATTCGACGTAATAAGCGGCCTAGGCGCTCTCAAAAAAGAAATAGGGGGCTCTTATTAAAATATTATTTTGGTGAAAAAAACAGAGTTGAAAGATAAATTTCGTGGTTTATGCTGACAGCCTGAAATGTTATTGATGACAGATATATTTTTCCAGAATTTAATTCCCCATAATTAACGGTGCATATAACACATGAGTGCGTATTATACGCGAATAAATAAGACTTCTGTACATTGATCAATCGGAAAGGGTGCTAATTGGGATTGTTCACTGGCCAATATATTAGCAAATATCGCATTGGGCGCTTATTAGAGCGGGGCGCTTATTACATCGAATACGGTAAACTAAAATGTGTCCGATTCTCATTCCTGCTTCGGAAGGTACCACATGCAAATTACAATTGTTTCCCCTTTCACTAAGTTTCAGGCTACATATGTGTGCTTTAGGCCACATTGTTTTTATTTTAATGTTTCACAGATCTATTCCAGCTTTTTCACACAAGGTCGGTTGAAATAAAAGTAAAAATAAATGTCAATCATGTATTTATATGAAAGTCATTTTGCTGTGGAGTTATAACTGCAGGTGTCATCTTGAATCACTGATAGAGATGTGGACATGGAATTTGTATGTAACATTTGGTATTGTATAAGAGGGTCTATATAACCTGCTGGACATATAACAAAAATAAATATTTTTATGTTTAATTTATTCCTTAGACCGACTGCTTTTCAGTAGGGATGGCAGGCCTGTGAAATGAAAAATAAATTTGTGTGGCCTTTTGACAGTACTTGCATCAATAGATAGGTAGGCTACAAAATTCTTCGAGCCGTGTTGATCCTCTGGATCAAAGTTATCTTGTAAATATAGTCATAATACGTGTAGATTTATTTTTGATGTGTTGCTGTGGTGTTCGATGGTCATATATCCAAAAGAAAGTACATACGACACAGGTCTACAGCAACATTTGCCTGAAGATATGGAATATAGATTGACGTATTAGTTCCTTGTTCTTCGTTGCAGTCAGCAGTACTTCAATATTCCAGCCATCTTCCCAAGGCAAGGGAGTTAACTGACTTCAAAAGTCCAGTTTCCACCCTTGCTAAACTAGGCTGGTACTATGGGGTTACATTTTGGCTGGACTAACGAGTCTATGCATAGTCCAATCAAAATCAAAATCAAAATCAAAATCCGGTTCATAAACTGTCGTGCAGATTTCGGTCGATTGCAGGATTTGCAAAGCATGTGCACCGCCAACTCGTTGTCAATAGATATTTTCCAAACCTTTTCATGATTTTAAATAAGGTGCTCCCGTGAACTGATGCACTTCGCAATGTAAGATCCGTTTTATCACAATATAGATCTTGATTATCGATCAGATCTCCTTGACTTGATTTGTTTGAAACAAATGCAAATGATGGAATCAGATTGGTCCATAGGAGAGGCTTAGAAGGGGCATAACTCATAATAACCACTGGTGGCGCTACGATCGAGCCCAGGAATTCAAGCCTAGTTCGGCAAGGATGGAAATTGGACATTTATAGTCAGTTAACTCTCCCTCGGGAAGATGTACTCCAGCTGTATGACAGATAACAACCCAATCTTCTATGTTGTCCTTTATTTGATGGAAACTGTGGTAATTTAATATGTAAACCCTGTTATCATAGGGACCCCCTTCTTCAGCTCAGTAAACTAAAACCCTAAAAACAGACAATGTCTCAGTTCCACACGGGGTCACCTCAAGCTTCTACAAGAATGAGAACAAGACGCATAGTTCCTCTTTCAGTATTTAACACAAATATTTCATGTGAGGAAGTATTTGTCCTTATTTGCATTTCAATTGTGGTGACTCATTTTTGTGCTTCATATAGGAAACTAATCCCACTATACAGTGTTACAGTCAAAATATATACCCCACTATACAGTGTCACAGTCAAAATATATACCACACTATACATTGTCTCAGTCAAAATATATACCACACTATACAGTGTCACAGTCGAAATATATACCCCACTATACAGTGTCACAGTCGAAATATATACCCCACTATACAGTGTCAAAGTCAAAATATACCCCACTATACAGTGTCACAGTCAACACATATACCCCACTATACATTGTCAAAGTCAAAATTTACCCCACTATACAGTGTCACAGTCAAAATATATAGCCCTACCATACAGTGTCACAGTCAACACTTATACCCAACTGTACAGTGTTACAGTCAAAATATATTCCCCTACTAGACAGCGTCACAGTCAAAATATATACCCCACTATACAGTGTCACAGTCAAAATATATACCCCACACTGAAGAACTGTATAAATATACACCATTTTCAGTATATCAGTTGAAATATACACCTCACACTGACGATCAGTACAAATATATATACCATTCATTGGAGAACAGTATGACATAGATACCCCTTTTTGAAGAACAGTACTAAAAATATACCCAAATTGATGATCAGTACAAAATATACACCCCGCATTAAAAATCAATACAAAACATATACTACTCATTGAAAATCAGTACAAAATATATACCACTCATTGAAAATCAATACAAAACACATACCCTTCATTGAAAATCAGTACAAAATATATATCCCTCATTGAAAAATCAATACAAAACATATACCATTCATTGAAAATCAATACAAAATATATATCCCTCTTTGAAGAACAGTACAAAATGAATTGAATAGCCCACGTTTAAGATCGGTACAAAATATACCCTATCATAAATTATACCCTGGTCAGACATGACTCAGTCAAGCATGTTACTATGCAGATTATTCTTTCAATCACAAATGTATTCAAAGCTAGCCTAATCTTTGCAGTCTAATTAAGCTTCATTGTCATATTGATACACACCAACCTGCGAGCTCACGTGTCTGTTGCTATCTCCTACTGTAGTGACAACGACCTGAAAAGCTCTCTGCCATAGACTTGCTCTGTTGACAATAGAACATTGAACTTTAGTCACATGTCATAGCTTTTGTTTACAAAGGGGGGTAACTCCAAATATTGCAGGATTTGATACCACAAAAAAACAAAACCTTTTCATCTGAAATACACATAACTGCATATTATTGTTCTTCACTGAGAGTTAAAATAAAACTTATTGTCAACTAAAGATGTAATTTAATATAATCAACATAAACTGATTCATGAATTTTGGAATTTATTAATTTGGTACAAATAAAATTATGCAATGTTTACTTATTGTCTTTAGTTAAACATTCTACAACAATCTACGTCATTCTTGAAAGGCTGTCTCTCCAGTCAGTGGTCTGGAGAGAGGAATTCAAGCTGTTTGGTTTATGAAAATATTCACCTGGACACCTGAAAAGAAATTTCCATGTAAAACAAAATTGGATCCTCTGGTAATCTTTTTCATGAAGCATATATTTTCTTGTTTACAGCTTTACAAATATTTCATTATGATACATGCAATATTTTAGGGATTGTGTGTGGTGAGAAATTATATAAACTGTGAAATTAGGGAAATTTACAAACTAATGGACTACGTTCCAATATCTTAAACATGCCATGGGTCAAACTGATAATGTGACTCGGACATAGTTCAGGGCCAGTGTCTCTTGTTGTCCTGGTCAGATAGAGAACACATGCAAGACATTAACACCTGTTTACGGCTAGGGACCGACTATTTGATATTGGACCGACTATTTGATATTTGGGGTGGGTTGGGGGGAGATTTTATCAACAACAAAAACTTGTCCCTCAAAACTCTTGAAAAAACTAATTATGTATCAGACTGTTGAAGAAAAGTATAATTGCCTGCCACAAAAATTGCATTTTGTTTTTCTAAAGAGAAATTCAGGCTAATTTTAAATAAAAAATATCTGGTTCTGTAGCTGTTGCTGAAAAAAAATTCAAATTTCATAACAAATAACACCCCCCCCCCCCCCCCCCTTACAGGGTCTGAGCCCTTTGTTCATCGTCTCAATTTGTGGAATCCCACTAACCACATATACATCCATGGAATACTACCCCTGAAGATCCAGGTTAAATTAAGTCTTCAGCAACCCATGCTTGCCATAAAAGGTGACTAATTATCGTAAGAGATGACAAACTGGATCGGGTGTTCAGGCTTGCTGACTTGGTTGATGCAGGTCATCGTATCCCAATTGCGTGAATTGATGCTCATTATGTCAATCACTGGATTGTCTGGTCCAGACGTGATTATTTACCGAACGCCGTCATATAGCTGGAATATTGGTGAGTGCGGCGTTAAACAACAAACATCCATGGCACACATGTAACTGGCACATTATTCTTCTTCATATAGTAGCCGTTTTCGCCCAAGAAATAGGTGCCGTTTTGCTGAGGCGCCGTTTTAGCCTGCACCCCTTTTTCATACCAAAATTCAATCGTGAACACTATTATCATCCATGTCTCGGTCAAATTCAATTACATAATTCTGTCGAAATAGCATTTTAAAATTCACCTTAACAACTGTATCCCCATTTTAATAAGAGTGAGTGAGTGAGTTGGGTTTAACACCGCTTTTAACATTATTCCAGTTATATCACGGCGTGTCAGCTTATTGTGGGAGGAAAGCCCGAAGTGATCCAGGTCTCGGATGTTTACCACTTCAGTGAAACCCATGAGCATGGGTATGGTGCTGACAAACCTAGAAACATAATTTGGGTGAACCAGGATTCGAACCCACAATCATAGGTTTCTGGCGTGCCCAAGGGACGCAACTCTGCACACAAATCGCGGTGCCTTAGATGACTGGGCCACAAGACTTATTTATTCGCGTATAATACACACCAATGTGTTATATGCACCCTTAATTATGGGCAATTGAATTCTGGAAAAATATATGTGTCATACATTTCAGACTGTCAGCATAAACCACGAAATATATCTTTCAACAGTTTTTTTCACCAAAATAATATTCTAATATGAGGCCCCTATTTCTAATTTTGAGTTAGCCCTGGGAGCTTATTAATTCGAATACAGTATATGCAATTACCTCAGGCAATATCTGCAAGTTCATGTGGTAATTTTAACATGTCATCCCTTCATGTATATTTTAGAAAGACACTTTGTTATACAGTTGTGAATAAACTATGCCAATCCTGATTACTATATAATGTTGTTTTATGTGAGAACACATATTATGAGTAAGGCTTTAAAAAATAAAAGAATTGGTCCTCAGGCAATGTTTTTTGAAAATATAGTGTGGGCAGGCAGTGTCCTGTTTTTTCTCTTTTTTTGTTGTTGTTGTAGTTCAAACTAGCAAGTAACCAAATAAACAGCTGTGGACCATCAACCTGGGAAAGGGCCTCCCTACATAAATGTATTCCTTGATGAGTAAAATACTGCATTTAAAAAAAAATAATTAAAAATGGAAATCCAAACAAAACTTGCGGCGAATTTTATGATGATGCGGGCGGTGCCTGAGAAGCAAGACTATTATTTTTTCTAACCCAACTTAGTCTAAATCTTGTGTGAATGCCTATGCTTGGGTAGTGTATTTAGTTGTGTGTGTTGGGTGTATTGATTGAATACTATTTACTCATATACTGAACAAAATTTCAAAGGGATCATGGATATTTTTTGGTAGTGAAGACAGGGCACACAATGTTTTACAAAATATCCCCAAAAATATTCTTCATCCTTAACTTGTTGTGTTCAATATATGTAAATTGTTGTATTATAATGATTCTGCCATGTATTAATCAATCTTGAGCAATCATTGTTAAACATTCAATGTCATGTTTAATATGTATGATCTTCGTTCGGCTTATTTTCACCAGAGACATTCCATCCAAAATAGGTTTTTTAGTAGAGTTCAAGTTGCTGTTTTGAGTGGGTGCTCACCTAGGCAATCTACACTGGACTATCTGTGACAAGGGAACCAGTCAACTATTATCTTATCCTCAAGTCCGTATAACAATTATGTTTGTTTGTTGTTTAACGCCACACTCAGCAATATTCCAGCTATATGATGGCAGTCTGTAAATAATCAAGTCTGGACCAGACAATCCAGTGATTGATATCAGGAGCATCGATCCATGCAGTTGGGATACAATGACACGCATCAACCAAGTCAGCTAGCCTGACCACCCGATCCAGTTAGTCGCCTCTTCTGACGAGCATGGGTTGCTGAAGACCTATTCTAACAACATATTCTAGATCTTCACGGGTCGTATAACAATTAACACAAGCACCTTAACTTCACTTCCATTTGTTTTTATTAACACATTTCAGCATATGCCAAATAATATTTCACAAATGGATACATTACATTTCAACATAATGTCTTAATGGAGGTGGAGAAGCATTGAACACCTGGTCAGCATACACCATCAGGGCGATGGCTCTTACTTCAAGTCTCCCTTTCGGGACTTGAGGTCTATTATCCATATTCTTGTACTTGTGTTGTTTGGCTGGTTGTTCCCCACACGCCTGGTCCTGGACATGCCGAGTCTCACTGATGTGCTGTTCTTCCTGAATGAAGTGCAGAAACTGGTACTGGCCATGGAAATAAGGTGCCATCCCTCCAAGTGTAGCCGAAGGTGCCAGCCTTCAAGTGTAGCCGAAGGTGCCAGCCCTCCAAGTGTAGCCGTAGGTGCCAGCCCTCCAAGTGTAGCTGAAGGTGCCAGCCCTCCAAGTGTAGCCGTAGGTGCCAGCCCTCCAAGTGTAGCTGAAGGTGCCAGCCCTCCAAGTGTAGCCGTAGGTGCCAGCCCTCCAAGTGTAGCCGTAGGTGCCAGCCCTCCAGGTGTAGCCATAGGTGCCAGCCTTCCAGGTGTAGCCGAAGGTGCCAGCCCTCCAGGTGTAGCCGTAGGTGCCAGCCCTCCAGGTGTAGCTGAAGGTGCCAGCCCTCCAGGTGATTGTTGGTCCTCATACCATAGGCTGCTCAGGACCAATTCTAACCCGGAAACCCACAGCAGACACCAAGACAGAATGGTTGATTGGTTGCTTAACGCCGCTCTCAGCAATATTCAAGCTATATCATGGCGGTCTGTAAATAATTGAGTCTGGACCAGACAATCCTGTGATTTTAATATCATTAGCATCGATCCACGCTATTGGGATCGATGACATGCATCCACCATGTCAGCGAGCCTGACCACCTGATCCCGTTAGTTGCCTCTTACGACAAGCGTAGTTGCCTTTTATGGCAAGCATGGGGTGCTGAAGACACATTCTAACACCGATCTTCATGGGTCCATAACAGAATGGAGTCATACTATCCTGAGTCAAGAACGGAACAACAACAAACAGATTCAGTTGTCAGATAATATTTTTTACTGACAGATCTTACAGCAAAACATTTATAAAATCTTTGAACAAAAACAACAGGTACCATAAGAACATATACACATATTTAATGAAAGCCCAACATTCTCTTTCTTCCCAACAACAAATATCATTAAGGAATGTATCTGTACAATATTTCAAAATAAGCAAACAATACATTTCAATATCAAGGCAAAAAGGTATTCTTGGTCCTTAATAAACGTATCAGTAAAACACATTTTCATAACAGTTTTTCATTTCTGCTTTAAGACAAAATTAATCTATGTTAAGTTTCTAATTTTTTATTGACATTCATAGGAATGATGTTAATGCCATCAATATGATGGTCTCCATGGATTAGTGAATAGAGCATCTGGACGGAAAGTGAAGCTTAGTTTGGAGTCACACCAAAGATGCTAAAAGATGGTCCTTGTTACCTGGCATTCTCAACCAAACAGACACACGCATGCATGCACCAATGCATGCACATACCCACACAGACACACCTCTCTCATACTATTTAAATCAGTATGAAATAAAAGAGCTTAGTAGATGAGTTTTTTGGTGAGGCAAGAGTGAAGAGAGTTTGTAGTGCCCCAAATAACTATGTAAACTTCACTTTCGCAAATGTGTCGACTCCTACTTCACAGTACACATGCTTTGCAAATCCTACGGTCAATTGAAATCTGCACATTGAAATCTATGTTGTT